CCACCCCCGGCACCCCCACCCGCGGCAGCCCCACCCCGGCCACCCCCTCTGACCCCACCGCGTGCCCGGGGTCGGGCAGTGAGGAGGCGACGGTCCCCCGGGATGGAGAGGAAGCCCGGGAAGCGGGGGGCGATGGTGGGGATACCGGGGGCGAAGTGAAGGACACGGGGGGTGAAGAGGAGGGTACGGGGGGAGAGGCTGCCGGGAATGGCGGGGCAGAAGCACCCAGGGGTGCCGGGGGCGATGCCGGAGGGGCCGGGGCTGGTGATGGAGATGCCGAGGCAGGGACAGCGGGGGGCACCGGAGGGGGCACCGAGGAGGGTACCGGGGGGGARCCGGYGCCACCAGCAGCGGGCGACACCCGRCGACGACAGGTGAGAGGGGATGTGGGTGGGCCGGGGGTGGCACAGCCGGGGCAAGGGCCGTGGGGTGGGTAGCCGCGGTAGGAATGGGGACAGGGGTGGCTTTGCTGGGGCAGGGTGACAGTGCCAGGGCCAAGATGACAGTGCCAGGGACATTGTGTGAGTGACACTGCCCGTGCTGGCAGTGCCACCCTGTCTGTTGCTTCCAGGAGCCCACTTGGCTTCAGGACGAGGACGATGAGCTGTGGCCTGAGTTCCCTCCCTGCTCGTCCCCAGAGGGGGCCACCACCCCCACGTCCCCCACATCCCCCGTGTCCCCCACATCCCCCGTGTCCCCCACATCCCCTGTGTCTCCGGCCTCCCCAACCTCCCCTAAAGGTAAGAGCCCGGCAAGCGATGTCACCCACTGGGGACACCACTGCCACACACAGTGTCCATCCTCCCCACAGGGAAGGACCTTGAGCCCCAGGGGTGTCTGGAGGGGGTGTGGGTGCCCCCTTCCACTCCTCTGACCCCTCCTCTCTCCTTGCAGCTGGCACCACTGAGGACGCAGGGGGCAGCAAGAAGTGAGTGTCCCCACAGGTGGCATCCCAATGCCCCTCCCCAGGGGTGGCACCCYACAGCCCCACGCTCGTGGCTGTCCCACCCGTGTGTGCCTGCAGGGGTGCTCCAGCGGGGGGGCCACCGGGCAAGGCGGTCCCCGGTTCGGCGGGGCAGAGGCTGAGGCTGGAGGGGGCCGGGGGACGGCCACGCGTGGGGGCCCGGGCACAAGGGCGCAGCGCCATCCTGGAGAAGTTYGGAGGGTGAGGGGGGCCTGGCCCCACGCGGGACATGGGGGGACAGTGGGGGCCAGTGGGACGGGTGGGTGGTGGAGCAGTGGTGGTGTTGGGAGGCTGTCGGGCAACAGGAGGTACAAGAGAATTTGGGGGGAAATTGGATGGGGGGTATTGGAGGGCACAGCAATGGGGTCATAGGGGAAGTGGGGATCCATGGGACAATGGTGACACTGTGGGAACATGGGGCAGTGAGGGAGGATATGGGACATGGGGAAATGTGGGTACAGGGAGGAATGGGGAGACCATAGGCCAGTTTGGGGGGTGGGCTAGGGATGGGTGTCCAGAGCCGTGGGACAGTGGGGTCACAGTGGGGCTGGGGGTCCCCGCGGGAGGCAGTGGGGTGTGGGGGTCCCACAGCCCAGGTTCCCCCAGGGCCGCCAAGGGCCCAGCCCCACACCTGCGGCGTTCAGGGGGGGCCGCCACTGTCAAGACGATGCTGCTGGAGTGGTGCCGCGCCCGCACCCGCGGCTACCCGGTGAGCGTGGGCGGTGGGCGGTGGGAGGGTCCGGCGGGGGTCCAGGGGTGGCCTGACCCCCCTGCCCGTGCAGCACGTGGACGTGCAGAACTTCTCCGGGAGCTGGGGCAGCGGTCTGGCCTTCTGCGCGCTCCTGCACAGCTTCTTCCCGGACGCCTTTGACTTTGCCACCCTCGATCCCGCCGCCCGCCGCGACAACTTCGCCCTGGCCTTTGCCACCGCCGAGTGCGTGAGCGCGGCCCCCGCCCCCCCCGGTCCCCTGGCCACCCCCGGCCCTGGTGACCACCCTGTCCCCTCTGCAGGGAGCGGGCGGGCTGTGCCCCGCTGCTGGAGGTGGAGGACATGGTGCGGCTGCCGGTGCCCGACGCCAAGTGYGTGTACACGTACGTGCAGGAGCTGTACCGCTGCCTGGTGGCCAAGGGACTCGTCAAGACCAAGAAGCGCTGAGARGGTCCCTCACAGCCCCACAGGCCTGCCAGCCCCTGCTTTGTCCCCTGCCTTGTCCCCCAGCAGTAAAGGCCATGATGCCAGGCAGCGKTGGCCTCATCTCTGGACAGAGGAACGCTGGCACCGAGCAAGTGTCTGAGTGCTGGGCACTGCCTGGCTCTGCCGCCGGGAGGGTGACACAACTCCCGGGGCCCCTCACCCTCCCAGTGACGCACCAGGGAGCCAGAGCAGGTGATGGAGAGAATTCATTGCCTTATGCACGGGGGTCGGGGCGCGGCTCGGCGTGGAGCCGCGTGTGCTCCTCCGCCCGGYGCCGGAACTCCTCGGGGCGCTCCTGCAGCTCCCGGGCCACGTCCGGCCGCAGCACCCGCTGAGGRTCCGGGCTGTCCAGCTGCAGCAGCAGGTCCTGCAGCACTGCAGGAGTGAGAGGGTCAGAGGGGCACCCCTGGCGCCGTGCCCCCCGTGCCCGCGGTGCCCACCTTTGATGGCGCGGGTGGTGTGYTCCCAGTGCTGGCGGGCGGTGAGCGGCTGGCACACGCGGCCCTCGGYGTCCACGCTGGGGTGGTAGATGGGGGTGCGGAGGGTGACGCAGGGGGGCTCCAGCGGGTGGTGGGGGGAGAAGGTCAGCTCGAAGCGGAAGGCGCCCGCGTTGTATGGGGGGTTGTTCTGCCGGGGCATGGGGGGCACCTCAGCGCCCATCCAGCYCTCATACCCGGTGCCCTCCACAGAGACTTCCCCATGCCACCCCGAGCTCCCCAGGAGGGGAACGTCACCCACTGTCCCCAGCAGGACACAAAGTAGCCCCTGCAGTGTCCTCAGAGGGACCCTCACTCAGTCCCAAGGGTCACCCCATGCCCCCAGGGGCACATCCGCCCTAAAAGCCCCCTTGCCCCCCACACCCCCCGCTCCCCGGGACTCCCCGCAGCCCTCCGTGTCCCCAGGTCCCCTCGTTCCCCCTCCCTACGCACGGGCAGCAGGATGCCCTCCCAGCGCCGCAGGTTCCCATTCAGCAGCCGCACGTCGCGGGCCCTCTCCCAGAGCCGCACCTCCTCCAGCTCCTGCGGGACAGGGGTGGGCGGGGGCTTTCGGGACACGCCCCTTTGGGGGCGGGGCTGCGTCCCGAGCTACCCCTCCATTGGCTCATCCTTCAGTCGGGACACGCCTCTGGGCGGGTCGCACCGCGGGCCGTGCCTTAATAGGCAGGGTTTAATCAATTATGGGCGGTGCCGGTACCCTGGACACGCCCCCGGGCGGGGCCGCTCCGCCGGGGAAACGAAACCGAAACGTGCGGGGGCATTTGGTACCCCCGCACCGGAGACCCTCCACACGGGTACTGTCATCCCCGCAACCCGCCACCGGGACCCCCGCACCAGCACTGACACTCTCCCGCTTCCCGCTACAGGGATCCCCTCATAGGCACCCCCAGCACTGCTTCTCCCCGGTACCGGGACCCCCGCACCGGCACTGACACAACCCCGCACTGCTTCTCCCCGGTACCGGGACCC